ATCCTGTTGGTACTGATGACACTTTGAGCTGCAAGTAAGAGGAGCGGCACATGTATGCAGGGAAAGGGACTATGCGCAGTCCTCCTGAGACCCCATACAGCCCACCTGAGACCCTGCACAGCTCACCATAGACCCTGCACCGCCCACCATAGACCCTGCACAGCCCACCATAGACCCCACACAGCCCACCACAAACCCTGCATAGCTCTCCTGAGACCCCGTGTGCGCTGTATCTAGTGACTGACAGGTCGTGCAAAATGTCCTAAACAGGATGGGGTGGGGAAAATTTAAACTGAGGGGGGTGCCCGAGTTTAGTCTTGCCTAGGGCAGCACAAAACCAAAATACACCACTGCCTTGCAGTGCAACTTTCATACCCGATAGCAACCAACTGCATTGTAAACGTAATTTTGCAGCCGCCAACCTACTGCAGAACGTGGAACTCGACCAGTAACATGAACGTTGGCAGACAATTCTCAGCTTTGGCTCTTGTATACCTTAATCCCATTGCTCTGAAGGGAAGTATTTGCAGTACGTTGCCCACAGCAACCGGCTAACCACCACCTGCCATTTTTTTCCCCAGCGCCGGTCTGAGAGCGGAAAAGCATCCAGCTGGAAAACGTCGCCGTCTTCTTGTTTAAAGCTTTCGCACAACTGAAACAAATACACACTGCGTAAAATAAACTGTAAGCTTTATTCGCGTCTCCAGCTGTTACCCTTTTCATAGCTAACAAATGAACTCTCCGAAAATGGCACGTCTCCGCGCCATGAAATGTGAGCTACCCACCGCGGTTACAGAACCGGCAGAACAACTTACAGCATGATATCCAAAATCATGGGGAAAAAAACCCCCCAAAAGAACGGCATTTATCTCATTCAAATTTAAAGCGAACCTGTCAGGAAATAAGCTGATAATTGAATTTTTAATCTTAGTGGCTGAGTTAGAAATCCCCTGCCCAGCGTATAACTGAGCGAATGCCGTTCGCACATCATGACTGCCACTAGATGGAGCCGAGGAGCATAGGAAATTCCTTTGCTCCTCAGCGCCATCTAGTGGTGGTAGTGACGTGTGAATGGCATTCGCACAGCTATACAGTGGGCAGCCAATTCATAAATCAGCCACTGAGTCAGGGGTGGCCAACACAGGCCCTTCATCTGTTGTGGAATTACAAGTCCCATGATTTGTAGTTACCAGCAAGATTCCCAGTGGCAGAGGCATGTTGAATTTGTAGTTACAGCACAGCTGGAAGGCCGGAGTTGCCCACCCCTGCTCTAAGTGAACCTTTAATACATCCTGGCAAATCAAGCAAAACTTCCTATATGACTTTGATACTTTTTTCATGCTCCTGCCGCCCTTTGGTTCTTCCCCTGTAGGTTACTGCATCATATGTAAGATTAATGACTGTGGGTGAACGATGCAGACTGCAGTAACCTGGGGAAATACTCAGGTACATATTGTCTACATAGATAGCTATCTTGGAAGAGGATCTTTTACAACTTCTTTTCTTCTCCTTTTTCACTACTTTATTCTATCTATTTTTCTATCTCTACTAATAAAAAAAAAGGTTAAAGGAGAACTATGGGGTTAAGTCTTTTCCCCATAGTTCTCCTTAGGGTAACGGGAGGACACAAACTAGCGTCCTCCCGTTACCCTAAGCTCAGTATACCGCGAGCTACGGCTCGCGGTATACTGAGACGCCGCAGCCAGGGCGGATCACGACATCGATGTCGAGATCCGCCCAGCTGCGTGAGTGACAGCTGGCTCTGCCTATCTAGAGGCAGAGCCAGCTGTACCCTCCCCCGTCCGTTCCGCCAGTCAGCGCTGGCGGATCGGAGCGTGGAGGGGGGAATCCAGCCCCTCCCCTGTCACGGCAGAGAGCCGTGACAGGATCGAGAGGTGAGCGAACGCCGGTATCTGTTCGCTCACCTGCCGATCTACTGAGCCGACCTCTCATTGTCACAGGTCGGCTAGAACTATGAGGTGAGTGGAAATCACTCGCCTCATAGTTCTCCTTTAAGGTTTATCATATTGGCGGATATCCGTCGGACATGGAGTTCCGTAAAGGGTGAAATACCAGAGCAGATAGCAAATGGTACAATATGTAAAGACTTAGCCTAATGATATAGGATGGTCAAGATGTAATAGGGGAACATCCCACTTTGTACTGAAGCAACCCGTCACCAAAATGTGGAATCTTTTATGTCCTCTGATTGAATGTCGACCAAATTTGATTCTTATGAGATGTCATATGTTATGTATCTTATGTATGAAACTTTAATAAAAAATAAAAAAAAGATTAATGACTGTTAGCTGCCCGACATAGTAAGTTTACGGCACGCCATTGAGTTTTCTTGACAGGTCCACTTTAAAAAGTTAGGGGGAAGAGAAATGATGTGCAATAACCTATAGCAGCCAATCAGCTGTTCATAGTGCATGAGCTAATAAAAGTTGATTGGTTGCTCTATGTTACAGAGTACAAATGTATAGTTTATGGGTTCCCTAAGAACTGGTCACATCGCTGAGAAGTTTTGATGAATCATTTTTTGCCGCTAGATGCTTCTTTATATGGCGACAAGCAATGCGCAAAATCAACAGCCGAACCAAAATCTTGTTTTATTGGCATGGTTGCAGTGAAAAAAAAATCAGGCTGGTTTGTTATGGCTTCTGAGTCTTTTATTAATAAAGCATGGAGCAATGTGCAAACCATCATCAATCTTTTGCCTCACCACTGTAGGCTACTGAAAACTCCTTCCCCTGTTCCTAAACAGGCCACTTAAAGGGACAGCCCACACCATATCCCTACACTGATTGGTAGAAAAGGCCATGTATAGGAAAGCACACGCCTATCAAATGTTGCCTCTGTATGTACCCTTTCCCAACACTTTGATCAATGGATGACTCTGTATGTGCTTTTGTCCACCCTCTCGGTCAAGGGTTGCCTCTCTTTATGTGCCCTCTACCACCCTTCACTCTAGGAATACCTTCTTGAACTCGTCTTTGGCATCTCTAAAATGCCTCAGACCCCTCTCTACACATGTCTGCCATGTCTTACTACCATGATACGTAGAAAAGGGCACATACTTGTTTATTAAACAATGCCTCTGAATACGCGCCCTTTTCCACACTTTACTCCAGGGATGTCTCTCTAAATGTTCCCTTGTCCTCCGTTCGGTAAAGGATGTGGCCTATCCACCATTTACTCAAGTGAAGCTTTACTTTCCATTCTTTTACATAATGTCTCTGGATATGTGCCCTGCTCCACACTTCACTCAAGGGATGCCTCTTTAAATGTTCCCTTGTCCAACGTCTGTGAAGAGATGCCTTGCAGCATGTGGCCTATCCACCATTTACTCTGGGGTTTCCTCACTATATGTGCCCTTTCCACCCTTCACTCAAGTAAAGCTTTACTTTACTTTCTATTACATAATGCCTCTTGAGATGTGCCCTGTTCCACAATTCACTCAAGGGATGCCTCTCAAAATTTGTCCTTGTCCATCCTTCACTCAAGGGATGCCTCTATAAATGTGTCCTTGTCCGCCCTTCACTCAAGGAATGCCTCTCTAAATGTGCCCTTGTACCCCCTTGTTAAGAAATGCTTCCCTGTATGTGGCTTTCCCACCTTTTCATCAAGTGTTGCCTCACTATATGTGCCCTTTTCCTCCTTCACTCTCGATACGTGCCCTGTTTCACAATTCACTCAAAGGATGGCTTTCTATATGTACCCTTGTCCACCCTTCAGTTGAGGGATGCCTCTCTAAACGTGCCCTTGTCCAACCTTCAGTCAAGGGATGCCTCTCTTTATGTGACTTTCCCACCCTTCACCCAAGTCAAGCTTTGCTTTACATTCTATTGATCGATGCCTCGGGATATGTGCCCTTTTCCACCTTCACTCTCAATATGTGCCCTGTTTCACAATTCATTCAAGGAATGCCTCTCTAAACGTGCCCTTGTCCACCCTTCAGTCAAGGAATGCCTCTCTAAACGTGCCCTTGTCCACCCTTCAGTCAAGGAATGCCTCTCTAAACGTGCCCTTGTCCACCCTTCAGTCAAGGAATGCCTCTCTAAACGTGCCCTTGTCCACCCTTCTGTCAAGGGATGCCTCTATAAACGTGCCCTTGTCCACCCTTCAGTCAAGGGATGCCTCTCTAAACGTGCCCTTGACCACCCTTCAGTCAAGGGATGCCTCTCTAAACGTGCCCTTGTCCACCCTTCAGTCAAGGAATGCCTCTCTAAACGTACCTTCAGTCAAGGAATGTCTCACTATACATGTGCTTTTCCACTTTTCACAAAAATATTGCCTTCCAAAATGTGCCCTTTTCCAGTCCTATTCCTGGTAGTGCAGCCCGCATGGTGCACACAATGGCTTTCCAGGTACATTATCACACATTAATCATTGAAGGGATTGAACTCCTCAGCCTCTGTCAACTGTTGCTGAAGTTCCCTTGCATTACTTAATTTTTTTTGCACCGATATTGTCATAATATTGCCGACACATACATCCTATTGTGCTTTAATGAGCTGACTATCTCCTATAGACGTACAACATGGATGAAACAGACAGCGAACCATTCACAATGTCAGAACTGCACCCTTTGCGTATTGCAGAAAACCTGGTGCAAACAGCCGCTGGCTCTAGTTTAAATGCCTCGATAAAATGGAAGGTTACATTGATTATTTTTGTTTCTTTCTGTCCTTTTTTTAAGAAAAGTGGAAGAATACATTGACTTTTAGTCGTGGATTTAAAATATGTGCAAACTAACGCACATTTACTAAAGTGTCCCTAGAGAGGCTTAAGCCAGACTGAATATTTAGACAACACACTCTATATATATATTCTTTTTTTTTTTTAACTATAAAACAAATATTGTTGATATAATTTTTTTTTTTACAGTCCTAAATTTACAGTTCTCGGCTGCGTTGATGTTAAAATCAAATATATTATCGGTAGAAAAATACAAGTTCTGTTAGAAGGTCCTGTTTCTTTGATGTGTGTCTATTTTCATTGACTCGGAGGAAGGAATTGCCGTCCTAGGACTGATTCTTGACACATCAAGACATGCGGTTCTACTCACTAGAAAAACTTGTAGATTCTCGAATTGCCAAGTTCTGACAAACGACTCAAGGATGACTCGAAAAAAACTCACTGCAGCTGCCCCAGCATAACGGGGTACGGATCACCTGGATTATCCATCCTGTATCGGATGGGTTGAATGGACTTGTGGCGAGCCAAGCCACAGAGGTAACACGGCAGTGCTTTTGAAATGGAGCTAGGTCATAGTTTATGGCTACAACCGATATCATACGCTGCTCACCCGTTCGTATAAAGAATGAGAGTTGAAGAAAACAAAATTGTGCACTTATATCCGCCATTAACCCCTCTGCCATAATAATGTCTTTGTAACACCGGCATCGAAACGGATCACTCCTTTACGGCATCTGTGAGACATCGGTCAGTCCCCTCGCTACACTCCAGCTTTGCTTTCCTTCCCTTTTTGGGCTCTATCCAAGAGTTGTGTATAACCGTCCCCCCGGGAGCCGGGTCTACTTGCAATACTGAAACCACTCTCTTCTTCATCTTATTCTTCAAGACGTTGCGGAATTTCTGGCGAGTGAAGGCGTACAGCAGAGGGTGGAAAATAGTTGTGCCGTAGGCCATGGTGATAAAGCAGATGCGCAGTTTTACCATGAAATCACTGGGTCCCAGGCAGAGGATCAGAAGGTTCACAATAGATAAGGGGGCCCAGCAGAGAAGAAAGGTTGTGATGATAATGAGAGACATCCTAAAGACACGTCTCTGACGTTCTCGGCGATCCCGGTGGCGTTTGACTGCGCGCCTTAAGGCGATGATGACAGACACAGAAGCCTGTACCCTCATGGGTGGGTTCTGGATAACAGGAGGAGCCAGTCTCTTGGTCTCCGCCACGATGCTTTGGTCCGAAGGTTTCCTTTTCTTCTTCTTCTTGGTTTTCCGGCGTTGGCTCCTCTTGAAGTGGTTGCCGATCCTAATGTTGAGGGCCTGCAGGATTTTGGAATAGGTGACCAGCATTACAGCCACTGCTGCAAAGAAGATGGGGATCTGAATGACTAGGTGGTAGTACATTCCCACCTCCGTGTGATACTCATTGACGCTCACGCAGAGCAAAGTCCGGTTCTGCCAGGTGGCAATGTGATCTGGGTCACCAAAAAAATGCACCTCGAAGAAAGGGATGAAGAAGACCATGAGCGAGACAAACCAGACACAGGACAGGAGTAGCACCATCCTGCTGGGGGTGAGGACCCGATTAGCGGGTCTCACGGAGATATCGTACCTGTCCAGACTGATGACCAGGACGTTGATGGCTGTTGCAATGCTACTGAAGGTGACGCAGGCCTCATGGAAGCAGCAAACTAGAGCTATGTTCTGCTCTAGAGGAATCAAGATGATGACTATGGTCAGCGGCACACAGATCACACAGATGATGATGTCCAAGACGTGAAGGTTCATGGTCACCATGTTGCTGACCGAATCCACCAGGTTGGACTGCATGCAGTAAAGCACGAGGACTGTCAAGTTGCTGCTAAAACCCAATACAATCTCCAACATGAGGAAGCTGGTGAGGGACACCTGGAAGCCCAGCGGATACGGAAAGTACCAGCTGGCATCGGAGCTGGATCCATCGTTAGTTTCCAAGATGGCGTCGTACATATCTGTCTCCGTGGCTGACACCATTCTGTCCTCTGCATAGTCCTAGGAATGAGGAATTTCTTCAGTCCATCCACCTGTAAGAAGAGAAATAAACAAATTAGTATATTGATGAATGACGTGATTCCAAGTTTTCAGCACTATACCCTCAAATCAATTTGATCATTTCAGCTCTTCCAAAATGTACTATCCGTGCAATCTTGTAGGGGCAAAGTCTCATCCATAGCTGTGTGTAGTAGGAAATGGATTGTTCTTCTTATTTAAAATTGCAAGAGGCAGTTTTCATGCTGATGTCATGCTGCCATGGCAAAGATAGACACCAGCCAGTAATGGAGGACTGACGCATGTATTCAAGTCATCGGCTGTTTGCCACCTTTATGGCCACTCATCTCAAATCAGCCAAATTATATAGCAATCAGGAGAAGGAGGAGGACTGCTTCTTAATCACCAAAGTAGCTTACTCAATGTTTTGATTATTTTCTCTTTTATATACAAGTCCAGCGTTATGTTACATTTCTTAAAGTGGACCTTTCAGACATTATAAAAGTCTGCATGAATACATTCCTGACGTGTTCCAACAGACAGCAACATTATATAAGAACAGGGGCGTCCCGAGGCTGGGTGACACCCAGTGCGGTGTCCGAGTGTCACCCCGCGATGACGTCATCGTGCACGAGCGGCAGTATTCTGATACCTGCCGGCGGCCATCTTGGTGATGGACGTCGGCAGAGAGAGGAGGAGACAGTCACCCGGTGTTCTGTCGATAGTAAAAACTTATCGAGTTGTGGGACCGCTGGTTTCCTCAGAACTACGACTTTTGGGCAAGAAATTTGTTGTGCACGAGCGTCATCCGCGGCATTGCCCTATACACATAGACCAAAGCAATAAAGTAATAAAATGAAGTGGCATCAGAGTAATCAAGCACGTTATTTATCTCCGGTGCCCCACTCAATATGGCCACCGCTTGAGTGGGGCACCGGAGATAAATAACGTGCTTGATTACTGTGATCCCACTTCATTTTATTACTTTATTGCTGTGGTGGTGCATGTGTAAAGAGCAATGCCGCAGATGACGCTCGTGCAGAAGAAGTTTTGTGTGCAAACCTCGTAGTTCTAAGGAAACCAGAAGTAATGCGGTCCCAGAACTCTATAAGTTTGAACGTTCGATCGATCACCGGCGGTATAAGGTATGCCGCCCGGTCCCCTCCTCTCTCCTGATACTGACGGGGGTTCGGTCCATGACCGAGCGCCCAACTTCAGTTGGGGATTCTGAGTAAGCCTGATCATTTTTCTCTCTTAGAATTCTCTGACACCGAGACGGTAACATTGTATGGAGAAGATCCCTGAATAGAATGGTAAGGTGTTGCTTTGAAGCGTGCTCCAGCACTCTGGCGTCGGGAGCCTGCTGCGAGTGGGCGTCCTCTGCTGTATCGTGCAAGGGAACAATGCGCACAAGGCCCACAGCGGTGTGTGCTGCGTGCTCCGGCGCTACATTTCCTCATTAGCCGGAGCCGGGTTTGGATTCAGAGCATGCCTCGCATTGGAGAAGTCTGCGGCGATGCCAGATGAATAGACAAACAAAGTGGATTTGACGTGGGAATAATCTCTGGCGCGCGGTGAATCATCTCGCTGTATGACTGATGGGATGATGCCGCGCACGATGTATATTGATGATGAGATGCTGAGATGAGAGTGCGGGGGGTAAAGGGCCACTCGAGCCATGCAGGTAAAGTAGATCTAAACCTAAGCTGGAGGATGAGAAATCTGCTTAGGCACCGCCTATCATGAACATTTTTTTTTAAACTACTGGTTTTACCCTTTTTTCATCCTTTTTTGTATCTGATGCCACATAATGGACCCCCCCAGATAATGCACCCCCCCCAGATAATGCACCCCCCCATATA